ACTTGCATCATATCAACATTTAGTTGGAGTAATTGCTTAACATGGAGTTAATTTACAAGTTTATGTTTCAGTTGTATTTATACATTTATAATAATGATCCACATCTAGTATTAGAGACACCAATTGAATTCCATCCATAAATATTTTTTCCATCATAGAATACACATCGCCTCTATTTTACACATCTACTTTTTTATTCTCCACATTATAATTATGATATTATATCTAGCAGAATCCTTAAGCAGTATTAAATGTAGTATCAGACACTTGTGATTACAAGATCTACAACTATTACCTTCAAGATTAAATTCACAATTTCCCTCTAATCCTCTCATCTTTGGACATGTTTCTGAAATTCATTAGTAATTACTACATTATGGGAGTAAATCTATTCATCTAGCACAAGTTGACTTCTAACGAACTTCCCTAATATTACATGCTGCATAAGTTGTATTTGAAGATTCAACCTCAATACAATAATAGTATCTCCATACTTTTTCTCCCTCAAGTTTACACTTGCTATTGTTCTCAAATCATCATTTTTGTCACACTGCACTCATTTTAATTATTTGTCATTTTAAAAAGGAATTTATTTTCAAAGAAATTTCATTGATAAATTTTCTTATCACTTCTTGACCAAGAAGATCATTGTATTTATGATTATCATGCACTAAGGAAGGCTAAATTAGACTGTATTCTTAAATATTAGCCTTCAAAATGATTAATGTTTTTGATGTCTGCCTATTCAAATTTTAGGTGATTGAACTCTTATATTATTTTAGGAAAAATCTCTTCTTAGGTTATTATTTCTAAATAATTCTTTCAAATCTAAATTCTATTATTGAATTTTGAGTATTTATATGATCAAACATTATTTGCTATTTACATAATAATTTTAATTGAGATAGAAAATGTAGATTAGATGTACCTAAGCTGATCATCGAAATCAATAAATAATTGGATATTGCATAGATAGCACATGCCCAAATTAAAGGCCTTATTGTCATTTTTGCTTGCCTCGTCATGGTCAACATCTTGACAGGTTAACATCTTAAGAACTTTTTAATGAATGGATTTAACAACGAATTCTTAGTGCCCACAATGTATAAAAGAATGTTTAAGAGTGTAAATTATCCTTTGATAGTTTTCTCAATTTGTTGATTCCTTATATTAACTTTAATATATAATAATTCTCAGAAATAGAAATTTCATAAATTGATATCATGATAAAAGGATTATGTTAATTGGAAGGTTGCGAGGAAATATTATTTAAACAACTTAAACAGTCTATCGAATAAATCAAATAGATTATAGATTAGATATTAAAAAAAATAAAGAATCAGACAAATTAAAAGGAAAAATGTAATTAGTAATCTCAAAATTCTGAAAGAAAATAATTAATATTAGAATAGTCATAACATCTAAGTAACTTTAAAACAAATTCAAACCAGTTCACCTTTGAGATCATGAATTTACACTCAATTAAATAAGATAAAAATTCTTATTCATTAGCTTTTAATAAAGATTAATCTATCGTATTAGCTGGATGTAGTAAGGATATTAAAGTATTTGAACATTAATAAGGAAAATTGAATCAGGTTTAATTGTTGAGTATGCATACAAATGATGTATTCACTTTAAATTTTATGAAAAAGACTAATAATTTTGTATCTGGAAGTTTAGATTATTCAATTATAATATGGAAGGTGATTGGAAATAATTAATGGAATTCTTAATAAATATTAGATGGACATTCTAGAAGTATATTTTGTTTATTGTTAAATAATACTGATGATTTAATGATATCAGGTAGTTCAGATAGTACAATCAAATTTTGGATGAAATAGAATTAATGGATATGTTAATAAACCATAAGTGATCATACTGGTTAAGTATCTTCATTAAGTTTAAATGAATAATAAAATAAATTGATATCTTGTTCTATAGATTCTTAAATATTAATAATAGAATAGTCTAAGTTGGATAAATAGTGGAGTGTTACATAAAAGATAAAAGTTGATTAATATGGAAGCGATTATGTTTTATTAATGATAACTTATTTACATTCTAACCTCAATGTAAAGAATAAATGTATATATATGAGATGGATTCTAATAATAAATAGTATTATAAGATTAAGGAAGTTGCAGTAAAGTGTGATTCAAATAATTGAGATAGTTTATTTCCATAATAATACATAAAGTCAAAATGCCTACTTGTGAATAAGAATGGCAAGAATGCGAATTTAATGAGAAAGAAACAAAATGGTGACTTTATTATTTAATAATCTATTTAATTTGATAGTTATGTTCTTTATGGACAATTAAGTGATGATGGAGAGTATTTGATCACTTGGGATTCAGGATCAAAGGAAATCTAAATAAGAAAGTGTAAGGAATAATGAGCATGATAATATAAAAATTATGAAATATGTTAGAATATTTATAGTGTATTTAATATTCAATATCTTTAAATATTATAAAAGTCTTTATTTATTAAATTTAATGAATTAATGCAGATTTTTCCAATATTATTATTTACAAGATGTTTTGGAATGATATTTAACCTTTAAGTTTTTTGTTTATTGATAGATGTAAAAGTAAATTGCTAAATCAATTTTCTTAGT